AGAAGGATTGAGGCCTTTGAATTGTGGTGCTGGAGGAGACTCCTGCGAGTCCCTTGGACCACAAGGCGATCAAACTGGTCAGTCCTAGAGGAGATCAACCCTAACTGCTCTTTAGAAGGCCAGATACTGAAGATGAAACTCAAATACTTTGGCCACCTAATGAGAAGGAAGGATTCCCTGGAGAAGAGCCTAATGCTGGGCACAATAGATGGCAAAAGGAGAAGGGGACGGCAGAAGATGAGGTGACTGGATGGAGTCACTGAAGCAGTTGGTGTGAGCTTAAGTGGACTCCAGGGGATGGTGGAGGACAGGAAGGCCTGGAGGAATGTTGTTCATGGGGTCGCGATGGGTGGGACACGACTTCGCGACTAACAACAACAATGGGCATTGTGTGAACTCTATAATCAACTCAGTTTATACCATGCAAACAATCAATGTGGCTGAAAGAAGTGAAGCAAGATGAAAAATGCATAGCATAGTTGTCCGTGCAGCAGCTTCAAATGGTCGGGATGTGAAGTAAGAGACTTGCCTGGCTGCTGAACAAAGGGCTGCAGTGCATGGAAGACTAGGCTGTGGGGACGCATCAGAGGGTTCTTGTTGTGGGAATTAGATTGAGAGCAGCAGGAGGATAATGACATAAACCACTTTGAGTTCATAAGAAAAAAGTGAGATATAAGTCTAATAAAATAATAATCTGGAGCATCCAAGTCAGACTGGCCTAGAGGTTGTTCTGAGGGGGTTGCAAAGGTCAGAACTCAGCAAATTTAGTCCTGGTGGGGCTGGGAGAAAAAGTGACAGAGTGAGGTTCAGAGGTGGAATTGTAAGTGCCAAGTGGAGGAAAGTTTTTGGGAGTTTGTCCAAGGCGCACAACTTGTGTGACAACAGAGGAGGTTAGGACAAGTAGTGTATGCACTCATGCCAGCTTCCAGCAGCTTGTGTGCTCCCTGCTCTTTGCTTATTCTTCTCTTCCACAATTTTCTTTGGCAGTCATTCCTATCTATAATCAAACTGTCGCAGAGACTTGCTAATAAAATGGAAAGGGCTTGCTCAGAGAAGGGAGCAGAGTGGGAACCAAAAGGGCTCCAACTGCACTGGATGACCAAGCTTCCAACCAGAAGCTGGCTCAAAATGGGTCGAATCACTAGGTGCACTCCCAGAAACACAAAATAGGAAAGTGGATGCAAGCAGGCAGGCTACGACTTGTAGGAAAAGGGCTCCAGAAGGTAGGCTGGGATTGAAAAATATGTTTCCTGTGATCTCAGTGGATTGTTCCTGAAGACAGTGCTGGGGACAGAGAAATTTCTGAGAGTGCAGCGAAAGGAAGCCTTGGGCAAGGCTGCAGGTGGGTCATTGCTGCAGCTAAACTGGGGACCTGGTTGGCCAGAAGTGGGTAGTCTGGGGCAAGCAGGTAGCAAGAATATGTGGGAGAAGCCCACTGATCCATGGCTTAAGGCAGTTTCAGAGAAGGGAAAGAGCCAGAGAGCAGTCCTTTGGGAAGCCATGGAATTATGAGCTTGCCATACAGTAGGAGAGCATGTGGAATCCTGCTTTTATAGGAAAGATGAGGAACCAGAGCGAGTGATTTCAGCGAGGTGGCATCGGCATAGGCAACCTGAACACGGGGGGCTTAGAGCCCAGGGTTGTTTTATGGTTGAACAACAGACCTCATGGGAGAATCAGTATCAATTTTGGACAACCAGACAAAGGATCAAGCTGATTTCCTGCCAAAGCCATCTCAACTGAGGTCTCAGAAGCTTAGGTTGAGCAAAATCTAAGCTAAAAACAGGAGAGAAATGGTTCTGAGTGCTTGAAAATGGTTCTTTCTGCTCTAATTCTGTATTCTTTTTCAGAGCTGTAATTCTCCCTTTGGGGGCTTTCACACATCTTCCCACAAGTATGCTACAACAAGCCCTTCAAAGACCTCCAATTAAAATTGCGATTGTCTGAAAATGGGCTCTCTCAGAATGTTCCTGTCCATAATTAAGATAACGTGAAGAACCCTGCCCGGTCAGACTGAAGTTCC